TGCTGCTGGGAGAGTCGCTGGAACTGATGCAAAGAAACGTAGTCTATGAAAAGCCACTCCTTTCCCGTAAGAGCCTTGGCTAGTTTGGAAACCTGGTGTCCGTAGGGGTCACAGTGCTCCCTCGACTCCCAGCAGTGTGACAACGAGATTACCTGGGTGCCGTCAGGCGCCTTGCCATCGGCCCAGACTTGGACCTCGGAATGGTGACAAAAAGCAGAGGCAGACTTCGGGCCCCCGCGGTCTTTGAGCAAAAAGATTATAACTGAAAAAATGGCACATCGCCCGCCTCCTCGTGTGTCACAAGTGCCGTTCGGCAGTCCACGTAGGCGGACTCCGCTTCCTGGCGCCGCGGGAGACGCTGTCCTTCCCGGTGCAGCTTCAGAATGAAGTCGGCTCGCACCTGGGCAGGACGCTTCATTGCTTCACACAGCAAAACTGTCAGAGGTATGATCCGTCACATGTTGATTATCACGCACAGCAGGCAAGATCGGATGGTTGCAGGCCTTTGCAGATTCAACACTGCAGCCCGGGGTGTGCACCAAGCGGATGTCCGCATCTTTCAGGAAGTCCGCCAGCCCCTGCTTCTGAGCAAGGTTGTGCGACGTTGTCGCGGAGCAGGCACGGAAACGCTCGCTCACCCCGCGCGCCCCGGCCTCTTGGGGCTCCGAAGCTGGATCCGGTCGGCGGAGGCAGCGTGCCACGTCTTCGCAGTTCAGTATTCCCTCGCCTCCGGACAGAAGTGTGCACCAAAAACTATATAGCTTTCCGAAATCGCACTGGCAAGGTAGTTCTGACTATGTCGATGTCCAATTCTGAGCTTCCGGCGATCGGGGACAACCTCTTGCCAGATGTCCTGGCCCATCTGCTCGGGCACAATGTTGCAACAAGCTGGGCACGCAGTCTCTGCCTGGAGCATCTCCACGGTGAAACGGTCGCCTGCCACGTACCGGGAAGAATCCCTACACGACATCCTGATTCCGGATCCTAAAAACTTGGTCGTTGGATCTCGGTGGCTACAAGGTTCGAGAGGGATGTATTGAGATGCTGCTTCGCTGTACTGCACCAGCCATGCAACAGTTGAAGAATCCACGCTTCGCACTTTAAATTCGATAAGTATAAATTGAACTTCTCTCCACATGCCGGAACAAAGTCAAGCATATAATTGACTCCGAACTTATTTGCAGACTGATGAACTTGCCGGATGTGTGACGAATCGTGTCGGGATTCTACGTAGGTACGGGGCCGGGTTCTGGCCTTTGAGGTTCCTGACGATGATCCGGAGAGCGTCCTTGGAGATCCTCCGCGTGCCCGGGCCACCCTCGCAGAGGAGAAGCGGGAAAGAACAATGGAAGCTACA